GATCAGCATTATTAAAATAACGTGTAACTAAAACATTCTCTGACCACATAAATATCCTCCAGCAGGAAAAAGGAGAAGAGGACTTGATTCTGGGTTTACACAGTTTCTGTGAAGTGTTTTCCAGCAAAGTCTCATGTTGGAATAATTTCTCTTTCGGAAAGTGATTTGTTTCCCACATTTTTAACCTCACGCCTCGAGCCACGTTTAACCGTCAGCAGCACCTGTTGAAGTATGATTCTTCAAATCTTATATTAATGTTAATATTCTCCTAAATTAACTGCTCAATTATTATTTTGCCAAAATGCGAAGGAATCATCTTACAAATCAGGAAACACACTATTGCCCTTTATTCCTCTAAAGCATCTCATGGATGAAAATAACTCTTATCGCTGTTTGACCTCAGAGTTTACACAGACAGCTCATGACCCGGACACCCATGAGTAGTAAAGTTTATTTTACTGTCCACCTCATACATCAAGACTGTGACACTCGGATGGGGACTCAAGGAGTGATGATCATGTGAGGCAGCGGTGGAAGTTTTATTATGGTCCAAGAGCTGACTAATATAGATGGTCAATTCCACGACGCTGTGCCAGAGTGCAGCCGCGGCTATTTCAGTCCCCATGAGCTGCGTGGCGGAGATGACAATGAGGAACCATGACACAGCCCAGATTTCATTTTAACGTTGGTTGTTATTATCAGGATGATGTGAGCAGTAACTATTGCTATTCACTTTGATTAGTCGAGGAATTATTGTCATTATTTGTAAACTTATTGACTCAAAAAGGTGGCATTTAGCTCAATCGAAACACTAAATACAAAGAGTTATTACAGATTTAGTATGTTTTCGAATGACTTTTCATTATACTATACAAGTTTTAATACTCTCTGCACAATTGGGTCCCAAGACAGCGTCTGTGTCAGTTTGCTACTTGAATCACAAATGGAAACATCAGAAGTTCTCTTCAGCAAAGACATTAAACCATTCCCACATTCCCACCTGGAGAGAGAGACACAGAGGCAGAGAGAGGAGGGACCTCATTACTTGCTGCTTGTGTGAGTGTGCAGACTGGAGGCCTGACTTCTTGGGAGGGTCCGGACAGTGGTGGCTACAGTGATGTATGGGCAGATGCATCAAATCGCACAAGATAAACAAGCGATGAGTTTCATCAGGGCCATCATAGCTTTAATTTGGCTGCCTAATGAGTCAGATCTAGTGGCGGAGATAAGAGTTGTCAGAGGCCCGGCTCTAATGAATTTCTTGCCACTTGTAATCAAGGTTGCCTGTCTGAGGGGGGATGATTAATGGAACCCTGGAGGATTCCCTCGGCCCTCAGCCTTCATTACAGCTAATGCATTCTCAGGCAAATTAACAGAGAAATGCAGGCAAAAGCCAACGGGGGAAAGAAAGAGAGAAAGAGAGTGGGGAGAAGGGAGAAAAAGGGAGAATGGGAGAGAGTGATGGGAACAGAGCGTTTATGTAAAACAAAGGAGAGAGAGGAGGATGGAGAGAGCAAGCATGGTGGCGTAGGAGAGAACCAGGTTGGCAGCGGGGGGGGAAAGAGAGGCAGAGACGGTGCTGAAATCTGCTGATTAGTTCGAGGTTCAAGGATATGGAAATGAGAGGAGAGACATGGGTTTGAGGCCGTCAGAAAGGGCAGGGTGCAACATGGATGCACTGGTTAGACATGATGGAGCTGAAATTGATAAATGGATGTTCAGGTCTGGGGGGGATTGGGGAGAGGAGAGATGGTCAGATGCAGAGAGAGGAGTGGATGTAATTACTGGTTGGAGAGGTTAAACGGGTGATGGGAGGAGGACAAAAAACAGGAAGCAACTGTGACCAGATCAAGACGAGCAGAAACAAACATGTAAGACAAGCCACCGCTCGGCGACACCTTAAAACAACATCCATGTCGCTGACTGCTTGATAAGCAGCCTGGTAAAGTGGCCCGTGGCCAAGCAGAGCCTACATGTTATGGAAATATGGATTTAATGTTTGCAAATATGGTCTCGTCAGGTCTTTGTGTAGCCATCCATCAGCCTCAGACCCACCTCTGCAATCTTGGAAGCAATTTGTCTGAGAAGAGGTGGGCGGCAGAGAGCCCTCCTCACTGTTTAGCAGGCCCTGATGAAATATCAAAACACACAGCAGTGCAAGCGAGCTCTCTAGTCTCGCCACAACAAACACAAGTGGCCGGGCTCTGCCAAGACGTGTGGTAATAAATTACAGGGCAGATTTTCCTTTTGATAATATTTCTCAGGAGGCGTAGAAAACTGTAACAGCCATCAGGTTAGGTTGGTGGGATCAAGGTCTGACATTTTAAGCGTTAACTAAAATCTTAAAGCTGCTATAATTAATAGTTTTATATTAATGATGTCACATTAATGGATGTATGAGACAAAGTCTAATAAAGATTATTATCACCTCACTCACTTGTTTTAGTTTTACTGCCCACAGCACCCTCATGAACGTTGTTTCAAGGAGAAATAAAAGAGTCAAGCTCCAAATGGCAGACAGAGGAAGTTCGCAACTAACTGGTGAACATAGAGGAGTATTTTTTTAGCTGCAAGACAGAACATGTGTTGCTCTGTGTCTGCAGGGTGTTATATGCTGTATGTCATATATGAAACAAGTTCATGCAAGTTAAAACCTTTCAGCAGCTTGAAATTGTCAGAATTTCACGATTGGTTTACACAAGTATCTGTCATCTGGAAAAATCGTATTCTGATTCAAATGCAAATTGTGATAATACAAGTTAAAAACAGTGAGAAGAGCTCAGAGTGTAAAAGGAATACTCAAATATGTTATGTGAAATCACCCAGAGTGTTGAAACAACAGCAGAAAAGTGCTCATGTAGAACCCAACTGATGTCGACTGGCTTCCTGCTGGAAGAAGTTTTCAGGGGCCTTCAAGCGCGACTCTTTGTACTGTGGCTTTATGTCAATCCAGCGTCGAGGGAGGAAGAGGGAAAATAAAAGAGACACCAGGTAATAAAGCGCAAACAATGCCAGCCAACAGAGAGAGGAAGGGGATGAAGATATGCCCAGACGAGATTAGCAGGAAATAAGAAGTGGATTAGTGAGGGCTTGACTCCTCTGAACACTGAGACCTTTCACTTTTCCCCACGGTGTCGTGCTGCCTGACACTAAGCCCAGCTTTTTATCTTAATCCTCTTTCAACGACTGTTGGGGGTCCCACGAGCAGGAAGTGGAGAGGTCGCTTTACTTACCTCGAGACACACCTGCTTTCTCTCTGGGCCACATGAATAAGATTTGATCCGGTGAGGTCTGACGAGGGAACACGCAGGAGAGAATAACATGAAATGGCAGTTCCTCTCAAAACGACAGTGATATTTTTAATTTGAGAGTCTCACCTTCTCTGTTAGGCTTCAGTAGATCAGGCACAGAAGCGACGGGGGCGTGATGGATGATGAATGAACAACACAAGACACATGCGTCGATTTCCCCAAATCCAGGGAAGGCTACATCGTTGAGTGTTTATTAATAGGTCAACAGTCAGCCAAGCATCCAAGCATACAACGAGTTACTCTTTAGCTTTTGCTTTGTTTCACGTTCTGAACGTAAAAAGGAAATTACAATAGGAAAATTAACTCAAACAAAACAGAACAAAACAAAAAGATATTTACATACTGCATTATAAATATGTCAAATGTACATCATTATACACAAGTACCAAAGATGGTCAGTTAATGTTGAGACCAAACAAAAGTACCTTTAAAAAATATGTCAAAGGAGAAACAAAAGCAACATATTTAAAATACGGTTCGTTGGTCAAGAGGACCAAAAAACCAGCTCAGTTTGTTTCTCTAAGAGGAGCTTGTCTGTAGATAAAGGCATTAAGCTAATATGTACACTTCATGTGGTGTTTGGGGGTAAAACAGGAAGTTTCTAGTGTTTTTTTCAGCATCTACAGTAAGTCAATAAAAGTTCAGTCATCACTGTACACTTTAAAACTCATCTCACAAATAATCTCCTACGCTGAAATGTACTTGAAATAAGTTCAAGTAAAGATCGGAGAAAGGCCGGTACCACAGCACAGGGGTTAGGTGTATTCTAAGGTATCTGCTTGAATTTGCAGTTGTTTCTATAACGTTTTAATCGGATCATTTGGGGAATTCTGCTTCCTGCCTCCAGCTCTTTAAATACAGACGAGAGCGTGGTGTCAATCTTATTAATCTCATTTAACTCTCGGAGAAAAGCAAATTAAAGCATATTCCCTCCAAACGATCCATTCCACATTTTCAACATCGGCCTGTATTGGTAAACAAAACAAAAACGTAAACATACATCCTGCCTTTGTAAACTGAGCAAATCAAGACGGTTTGAAACTTTCAAAATGGCAGTTAAACAAATGGGGGAAATACACTGTAGACATAGTGTTAACGCCACCTGATTTCACTGAGGTGCCCAAGTCTTATTTAATAAATGAACTTATCATGAGTGTGGAATACTGTTCATTTCTATTAATGCACAGAGGGTCAAACTACTTACTTCTTATGAACATCCTTAACTTAATCTAATCCCTAAATGTCGCTCCAGTTTCCGTCACTGGAATGCATCTTGTTGCAGGGAGCAGGGAGTTCTGCTTCTAGGCTCTCAGGATGGGGGAGGGTACACTGGGTCAAGGAGAAGGAAAGGGTCGTTTTTTTTTCTTCTAAAAGTCAGAGTACGTTAAAACTGTTCTTATAAGGAATAGGGTGATGGAACAAGAACTACCTTTTTACAGAGGTCTGTACATTAAAACACAGTTATGTTCCCAAATCTTCACTGCAGCCGTTTGTCTTCTCCCCAGTGTCCTTTCTCCAGAGTTTACAAACAGAAGAAGACATAAGCACACACGTGTCGTACAGTAAGTACACACATTAGTACCATATATGTATTTCACAGCAATAATGGAGTAAACACACTCTGGAGTACCAGGTTTTCAGCTTTTGGCCACGGGAGGTGAAAGGATATTTCAGTACGCTCATGGTTTGAAATCGCACAAATCTGTGTCAAACAATTATCAACACAATCTGGTCAATCGAAAAATTACTCCAACAAAGACATGATAATGGTGCAATTTCACAGTTTCAATCAAACTCTTGAATTTGAATGCATTCTGATTGAAGAGGCTCGCTCACAAAGCCATGTGGCTCGATGGTCATAAAACATTATGCCCCTTAATTCCTTTATAGTCATGGACATTTTTACTGGAGGATCATAAGGGTGGCGAAGGAAATGACACTTTCACCCCATTGGAACGCTGCAATCAACTTCTTTATGATGATCCGGAGTCTAAAGAATCTCAATCATTTGGACTCTTTGGCTATTATTGCTTTGCCTTTGTATAAGAATAGTATGTCAAGAGTTTGATAGCCGTGTTGAAGCCATGCATCATTACTAAAAGCTGCAACAGCCATTGATATCATGGAAGATTTAGTTTCCTTCTCACGTCAGTGTTTTGTCACTGTGAAAACTATTCCTCACAGTTTCATGTTATTATGCCTCGGCTTGAAAATTTGAAGGAAGTTTCTCATTTACGCTCATTATAAAATCAGCTCACGCTGCAGAGGGGGAAGACGTGAAAGGAAATGTTCAAGCATTAAGGAAATGCTTTTCGTAGGGGAAGGTATGAATGCCAAAGTAAGTCATTTGTTTGGTTGACGCTTAAAGAACATAAAGCTTTAAAGCTCATCGTGATCTTTTCAGACCAAGATTGAATGAATTTAACAAAACAATTACAAAATAACAATATAAAACAAACAATGTACAATGTCCGAACCTCACAGACCCACTTCTGTCAGCGTAGTGGAATATTAACAATGAGTCCATTACTCCCGGTATCTCTCCGTAGCTGCTGGGTTACACAGTGTGAAACAGGAGGAAGTACTGGAAGAGACAGGGGTGGGTGCAGGGTTTTAATGTCTGTTTCCTCGCGGCCGCTCGCTGCCTCCTACATGATGCTGATGCTGCGGTTGAGCTCACACTGGGCGTTGTTGTTGTTGATGTTGGGGTTGCGGCGGCTCATGTTGGGAGTGGCCACCGAGGTGAGGGTGCTCGTTTCGTTGGGGCAACCGTGCTGAAGCAAGATGTCTGCACACTCCTGGCTGCCGGCTCGCCGAGCGTAGGACAGCGGCGTCTGGCTGCGAGCGTCGCGGCTCTTCACGTCCACACCGTACTGCAGGAGAAGACGAGAGGTGTAAGAGGCCGATCGGAAAGATTTGGCTTTCACATGGTTTGGAGATTTAGAAGAAATTTAATGGGATTCATCAGAATTGAAATGATTATTTAAAAAAACAAATTGACAAAATAAAAAGATGATAAGTGGCTGTTGGATAATCTCTCCCTTCACACTTCCGTTCACAACATGATTCATCCACCTCTGACTGTTCTCCTCAAAGTCAGAGGAGCCCACTCACCCAGATGAGCAGCTGTGTGATCACCACGTTCGCCATGGCACAGGATAGGTGCAGAGCGGTCCGCCCGTCCCCGTCCCCGTAGGTCTCGTTAACCTCCTCCTTGGTGCCGTGGGCCAGCAGCAGCACCACCAACCTCAGGTCATCCTCCACCACCGCCCGGAGCAGCTGCTGCCCCAGGGGCACGTCGGACTGGGGCAACCCCACCAGGAACAGCTTCTGCTCGTACTTGGCTCGGATCCAGCGCTCCTTCTCCTCCCTTGAGAGACGGAAATGAAAGAGATGCTACAGGTCAGGCAGGGTGAAGCATGATGAACCACGCTGTTCACAATTTAGCACCAAGTTAAGGAAGTTTTTCGCTCATATTGCAGAAGCAGCGATTTAAAGGAATAAACAGGAAATGCGGAATGTGGTCACACAAGGGAAACATTACAGTAATTGGCCTGAGAGACTCACTGGTGTAAAGTGACATTTCTAAATGATTAGAGCACAGGAAAGCCACTAGCCTCTGCTATCACACTGGGAAATAATACAGTGAGATGGGCTGGAGAGATGAGAGAATGCCAAAGGGTGTGAAGCTTTGGGCAATATTCCACTTTCTAGTGATTACAGTCGACAGCAAGACGGTTAGAGTCTGGCCAGCCTTCTAAAGGTTACACATCTCTAACAGCATGTCTGCTGCGGACAATACAGGAAGGAGGGGACGTTTTTTCTTTTTTTTTTTTATCAGCGCTGTCGGCTGTCAGTCTGAACTGATGGATCCCCTCCACAAAAGAGGCAGTGTGTCTCCGAGCCCCGGTCTCCCTTGGGGTGGCTGGGCCCTGAGTCAGATCGATGGGGCTGAATGGCAGCCAGAGAGGGACAGTGCGATGTGGGGCTCCTTCACTTCCAGCCCGCAGCAGAGAATAGAGAACGAGGGAAGACTCTGTCCTCTATCGCTAGGACAGAATTCTATCTATCGCGCTCCATCTTGACCCCCTGTTTCATTCTTTGCCCACATACAAACTGTCCAAATAAAAAAGAAAAAGAAAATCAATATCAATATGTGAATGACTGAGCATGCCCAGTGTGGCACTAACCCTGTGACCCTGTCAGCCGGTGTGATAAGGCGAGCAGAAAGAGGCTGTTGTTTAGATTTGTGGCTGAGTGACAGAGAGAAGGAGGTTTGTACGGATAAGTTAGAGTGGCGACGCTGGCTGGAGTGACAAGGCTCTCATGGGAGTCCGTGTGAAAGGAGTGAGGCTCAGCAGCAGCAAGTGCAAACTGACAATCTCATTCACTTCAATTCTATTCCATCATAATCACAGCAAAACACAAACTGATGGAGCACAACTTAATCACCCAAATCAACCTTTGAGATGAACAATGACACAATATGCACATTAAATAATATACTTCAATTATCATTTTAATGTTTTAACTACAACGGAGGAGAATAAACTTTTGACTAATTGTCTTTAAAGTCGCCTGTAAGTCTGATGTTTTTTATGTTTTCCTTATTGCCTTAAATTCAGCCTGATCTCTATTGAACTGTCATTACTCAAATATGAGTAAAAATCAATTTGTCAGAGACTATTTAAATACACACTTGATGCACTGTTCTCACCACTTCTCTTCATAAAATAAAATACCTCAAACTTGGTGTTTTGCTCTGTTGCTGCATTGTATAGCAGCTACTCACAGAGTTGTTTGCTTGCACGTTTGCGCTATCGTCCATAAAGTTGTTACCGTCCACGAGAGCAGTCAGTCCTCATAGTATCAGTGAAAGTTGTGAGCATACACAGAACTTGTCTTTAGCTCATTAGTCTGTTTACCTGTCGCTCAGAATCTGTTGCGTGACAGAGTGTTGCACTCCTGCTACAGACATTGATTGAATAAATTTTGTGGGAAATGCTGTGGAGAAAGTGAAACAAAATTTGTGGCTCGGCCCATTTACTCAGATCCCTGATCCATTCCTCCAAAAAATTTCTTGGTAATTCATCCAGCAGTTTTTTGCGTAATTCAGCTAAATTACAGACAAACAAAACAAAAACATAACCTCATTGGCAAAGGTAATTACAGTGCCATTGTTTATCATATGTCGTATGTCGTCCATTAAAACAGTGTTGTTGTTTTTGTTGGACAATGAAAATCTGTGACACAGAGGGATAAACTACATCAGGCTTTGGCAACACAGACAACACAGACAATACTTTGTTGATAATATTATTTGTTATAATAAGAAATGGAATACTGCTTCTTTTTCCCAGATTCAACATCCTGGTTACTCTTATCCATAGAGCTAGAAATAATTTCTTGTCTGTCCTTAAAATGTGGTAATCAGTGATATTTGCACATGTACCACCAGAGCTCGGCAAAAAACATTTGTATTGTATTTATATGTTGTAATTTGAGTGGATCTTCTGTTTACGTACATCACCAAATAACCCATTTTCAATTACAGCAACTGTTTTCAATGATTGTAACCGGTTCAGCATTAGTCACTCTCCCTGATTACGACCTTCGCAGCTGGGTGTCATGGCTGCCAACTTACCACAGACAGCAACCATTTTCAGACTCATATGTCAGCTGCCAGATTCCCCTCGCGGAGCAGTTCGTCTTGCACAGAGGAGCGCGGCACCGGCCCTAACTACAGGAGCTAAGGATGTGATGGAAAAGCCTTTATCAGCGCCAGAGCACAAACTGATTAACTGCGAAGCACAACTGGAAGCTCATAAAGCAACTTAAAATTGTCCTAAAGCTGGAGGAAGAAAACGTGGTGGGGAGAAGTCCTTTCCCCTGCTTCACCATAAGCAAATCTTTTCTTAAGGTTGAGGGTATTATGTGAACAACAATACAGCCCAATTGCAGGCAATTGCAGTGGCTCTGAGTTTTATGGTGTAAGACCTCCATCAATCCCCACTCAGTCATTATGTGAGGACAAGCCTGTTAGCAAATCAATTGGCCTTAGAGGCAGCGGACTGCTCAGAGCAGGAAGGGGCTGTCCTGCCCTCCCCTCTTATTTCCGGTGGAGTCTTTGAAAACAAGTTTCTCTGGTTTTTTTTACTGCCAAAGAGGATAAAGTCTGAAAACTCTATAACCTCTGAAGTACCCCTCAAGGCAAAAACCCGACCTTTAACAAAAATTTAAGCGCCGTTAGAAACGAGAGGCGTAAGAGCTGTTGTCCAAACGTGTGCAGCAGAAAGCTAGACCATGAATGAGACGCTGAATCTGGAGAGCCCAGTGAATTGATATGAGCTAAATGAGGCAGAAAGTTAGCACCGAGATGCGAAACAAAAAGGCTGAGCAGAGCCATTAAGAAGACGTCAACATCTCAGAAAGGAGCCCCGAGGACACTTTGTTAGCCTGCGATACAAAAACGGACCCAAAAAAAACAGCCCTCGCTCATGACTGATGCCGAGCTCCAAATCCAACCACAGTTCTTTTTAGATTTAAAAAAAAAAAGCAAGCAAGCAGTGGTTTTTAAAAAATTCCCCAGCTGCTGCCACTTGAAAGAAAGAGTGTGGAAGGAAGTGAAATGGTAATCCCCCTCTGTCTCTTTGTTTGAAATAGAAAAACAATCCAAACAGAGGTAGGGTTTAGACAGTCAGGGGGGAAACTGAGACCCTTGAAAAGGACACTTCCTCACCACAGGAGGAAGAAAAATAAAATCGGAAGATTTAACATGTCAAAAAACGCCTGGTCCGAGCGGGAGGGAGGGGAGGAGGGGAGGGAGAGGAGAGTGAATTTTCACAGCATGGGGGATATTAAGGAAATTGAACTGATGGTTCCTCTTATATACACACACACACACATAAAGGTTACACATGGGCAGAGGTTACGAGACACCACCCTGGCTTTGAGCGCATACTTGTTCCAAATTTCTCTGTTGCTGAGGGGACAGAGAGGAGCTTAAAGATCCCTATAAAAATGCCTCCGTCTCTTTCAAGTAAAAACAAGCTTCGCCACAAACTTCCTCCATTATTCAGAGTTATCTCGCAGCTGAGCATCATTGTTGAACTTTGCTTTCACAGAGTTTTATTTGGAAGAAGTCCTGGGCAAACACCAAGATGCTTACCGAGGCCTAAGTGGAAATGGGATTCCTGGTGTCCCCTTTCATTTGCCTGCGCGGAGCCCACCTAGATAAAGGCAGCCCTAACAGTAGAGAAAGGCCTCTTTTATAATTCTATTAGAGCTCTGTCCCTTCAGCTCTCTGTTGAGCAATGGATCCTGACCCTGACTTAATTAAGTGGCAAATGGCGGAATGATTCTCCTATACCCGGCCCACGGAGTCAAGAACACATGACTGAATTCAAATAAAGAGGTACAAACAAGGATAATTAGTCAAGCCTGAAAGACAAAGGCGAACTGGGAATTTATAGGAAGGGAAACTCAGATGGAGGGGGGGCGGAGCCAGCGACGGAGTAGCCACAGAATGACCAATCTGGTCGCCTGCAATAAAGGTGCATCGGTCCATAGGAAGAGGAGGATGTCCGTCCCACCACCAGCACATCTTTCAAACGCACAGTCCTCATAAACAATCAAAGCTTCTCGGGCTCCTCCTACTCTTTCCCGAGCATCCAAATTCACTGCGGACAACATCAAACAGACGCAGTGAAGGGGAGAAATGGTGGTGTTGAAGGGTTCGGAGGGGGGTTGATGAGGGGGGGGTGGGGGCTCGGGGTCTGAGCAGCCTGAACAGACCTCTCAGTGGGGGTGGGCAACTTGTATGGGCCCGATTCCCATGCAGCCGACAGCTCCACTTCCACAAACCGAGGGGAGGGAAGAGACAAGAGAGCGAGGAAGAGGGGACGGCAGTAGAAAGACGAAGAGGGGGCTCAGAGGGAGAAGACAGATGAAAAAAAAAAAAAGAAAAAGCGAACACAACGGGAGAAGAAAGCTGGGCCCCAAAGCATCAAAGGTTGCTAGGGGCCAGAAATGACGGAGCAACACAGTAAACGCTGCAGCAGAAAAAGTGCTAAATAAGGCCCCCTATGGTCCAGCGGGTACAGTGTTGACACGGTGCGGTCCTCTCGGAGAATAACGGCGGCAAAAGAATTTAGACAAATATTTTTACAAGTGGAATCGATGCCGCTTTTCTCACTTCAAGAGCACGTTCTGAGCAGATGACCAGAACAAATGTGCTGTGCTGAGAGAGGCTGAATATATTGTGACATTAATGAGGCTGTCAGACCCCTCGTGATCGAGTGGATGTGTTTTTGTGCCAGATAAACTAATACCTTTAAATGCTCACGCTTTTAACCCTTGCTGAACCCACACGTACAAAGCCAAGGGGGGGGGGCGCTTCCAAAGAATCAGATCCTTTTATTTCACGTCATCGTAAAACTGTCTTTTGTCATGATTTTGTAAATGCTAACAATATTGAAGCTGAATGGCGTCGGTTAAGTGGACTGTGCCACAATGAATCAGTCCTTCCTCTTCGTCTACCTGGCTCTGAAACCCGATGGCATGTGGGCAATTAGTGACTGTGGTGCCACTTCTCCCACACAGGGCTAATTACTGACCTGTGGGTTTCATTTGGAGAGAGAGAGCAAGAGAGTGAATGGCAGAGGAAGAGACTGAGAGAGGGAGGACATGGGGAAGACCCAGTCATTAATTTGTCTTAATTAATTACTCTTCCTCCGCCAGAGCTCCTGGCAAGGCCGGCTATTCTGAAAGCTCTTCCGAGAGTTGGCGTTCCAGCGACTCCTAACCTGTGAGTGGCCGGGAAGGCAACCAACACACAGGCCGACATGGACGGATCCTAAACCAGGAGCCTCACACAAACAGCTCGGGAGAGGACGAGCCAAGACGCCACTGCCGGAGCAGAAGGGGTTAAAACAGGCAGCGGGGGCCAGGTTTGGAGAGGTTAGCGATGTGATTCATTTTTATTACCGAGCGGCCCCTGCAGGCGGCAGGAGTGGCAAATTATTTCTGAAACAAAGTGGAGGGCTCTCATCAGAGCTATTACCTGCCTGTGGCCGAGGGCGGCGCGGAGCCTACAGAGGGTGACAGTGAGAGGCCCGCGTCAGTGAGGGATAGCCGTCCACATCCGTCCACGCTCCAGGACATCTCCCCCAAATGAGAACTGGTGTCTGTGTATGTATGTGTGAGAGTGTGTGTGTGTGTTTTACTGTGTGTGTGTTTTACTGTGTCTGTGTCTGTGTGTGTGTGTGTGTGTGAGAGCTCATGCGGAGGATAAGGGTAAAGTTAGTCGTTGGACCACCCCCCCCACAGTATCCGTCAAAATAGTTTGTGGTGTTTTCTAACACCAACATGTGAAGCAATTAGAGGTGGCGTGCAAAACACAATGACGCCCCGGTGCTAATTAAAAGAACAACTCCCCTCCGATATGCTGACTGCAGAGATCAGCCACAAAGCAAAACGTCCGCAAATGTACTCACAGATTATTTAGCCGTTAACTGGTCAGACATGATTTTTTTAAAGCATTCGGTAGCATCTTTCACAAATAGGTCATTAATGGCAACCAAAGGCTTTATTAATGATTATGTACAGATAAGTTATCGGACATAAATAGGTTCAACTTTTGAAGCCTCGTGAGTATTTATTAATGGATTCACAACCTTTAAATACATTATTACCAGAGTAACCAGAAAGGGATTTTCCACAACCTCGATATGCATCATGTTTTCCTAATAACAGCTTATAGATCTTTAAAAGACCGAGAACATTATTTTTTTCAAGCTTTTAATTTCCATTTAAAATGCTTCATAACAGGTGACTCATTAGAAATTGCTAGCGTCCATTCTTCTTCTACTTCAGGTGACACGCATGCACATATGCAAGGATATGAGCATGTTTCCAATTTAAAGTCCTGCAATCAGTCTGACGTACATCAGTAATCGCAGTGTTGCTGTGCGGCTCCGCGTACGACAAATCTATATATTGTGTTCCTTCCATCCTGAATATCATAAGCTAAACCAATCTTGTGGATGAACGCCTTTAAGTTAAACCTCAAAAATGCGAGGGGTAAAACTAGTCTTGCAGGAGACATTCAATCAGACACTGAGCTGATATTCAGGTAGTTACTGAATCGTTTAGATTAGGTGTCACTAATGTTTAGTGGGAGTCGGGAGCCATACACTGCCTGCCGAGGTGCCATCACAAAGCTGCTTCATGTCACTGATGTGACACAATTAAAATCCTCTTGCATGTGCTGCACTCAAGTTAAGAGAATCACCCACAGAGGGAGAGGAGGAGGATTTATTGTGTAAAAAGAAGGATGAAGAAAAAACTACATCCCATTAAGTTGGTCTTAATTCATCATATCCATGATAAAGCCCAAATAATTTGATGCTAACGTTTACCCCACGAGGCTACAATCTTCTATCAGCGACAAAGTCAGCAGCTTCTCAATGACCACTGGCCATATGTGATATTTACAAATGCTGTTTTTTGTCTGAGGATTAGTTATGCCGCAAATGAGATTTATTGTTTGACACTGGAGACTAATGGAGACGCTGCCGCAGGACACCATTGGATTTTTAAGACAATGAAGAACCTTCTGGCTCGAGGCGACGTGGGACTGACAGTGGTACGGAGAGGAATCAACATCAATAATCTTTCATCAAGTCCACAGTGGAGCACTTTAGCACTGATACCATTCAATAAATAACTGTAGGCCATCGTTCAGCACTGAACTGGCCGAAAAAAGCGGAGGATGGATTCGGGAGGAAAAGACTTCGCAGTGGAAGGAAAAAACAAAGAATTGTTCATTCGGAAACATAGATACAGTCACGATGACTCCATATGTGCACGTTTTAGGTGTCTTCAAAAGCCAAAGAGTCACAGTATACGACCAGCACTTTCACGATTTTGTACTGAAAATCACTAAAAATCCATGGACAAGAAACATTCAACTTTGGTACCTGGTTATCAGACATTACTCAGACTTCTTCATGGTAAAGTGAGCTTCTTGTTATTTATTTAAGGAAGTGATATGAGTTCACGCTGCACCTTTTCTGGTGCGACATTATGACGCACGTGGAACTTCCAGGCGATGGCGTGTAAATAACCATCAAACGTGTGTCCACTTACTGTTTTTTTAACATCTCAGGAACAACATGCAACAACAACGTTTCTGTGAATTGTGAAATATGCAACACTGGCAAGACAGCGACAGCTTGGACCATGACTCAGTGGGTAGAAAAGCAGAAGGGCAAACTCCTCTACTTTACCCAGATTTTTAAAAAACTGTGTTTTGGTACAAAGAGGTTTTATTCATAATGCTGCCATTTCCTTAAAACTCATCTGACATTAAAAAAAACACACAGATGTGACCCTGAAATCCTAAATCCTCAATTCAGATGAAGCTTCAGCAGTCAGACTCAGTCAGAGTGAGGGTTCTCCAGTGTTTGTGTCTCTATTATTAAAACTAAAGAAAAGTGACATGTAGGGCATGATTTGTTTTTTTGCTTGAAAACTACTAAAATCATTGACTGGTTATAAAATATTTGTGTTCAGAGATTTGATTTATAAGAAAAAGGAAACATACAACAGAACTTTCTCTGATCAAATGTATCAATGTGGTGCCATCGATATCTAATTAGGTGACAGCACAACATGTATCCTGGTTCTATGTTAAGCCTTCACGCTGTATTTGATCATATTTGTGTAATTCTTGATTGACCTGATCGGTGTAGCAGCAGAAAAACGCAGGGGGGGGGCAACGGTCGTGGGTTTTTCACTTGTTTTAACAAAGTTATAACGCTGTGATGTTAAAACAGTGGAATGCCACCAGCGAGAGCCCACAGACAGTTTTCTCTGTGACAGACCGAGTGATGACCCGGCCCCGTGTGATGGATATGTGACAGGGCGGCTCGGGGCCCGAGGGCCTGGCTCTTGGGGGTGGGGTTTCGCCATAATGGTGTGCTTAATTACCTGCACAGCCACACAGCAGGTCATTAGTCAGACTGGGACGCAAGGTCTCACCTGTCACCAAGAGATAAACAATCCTCCTACCAGATCTGGGGACCTCAGAGGGAAGAGAGGCCGTTGAGGGGAGTTAGGTCAGGGAAACATAGGATGAGTGGAAAAGTGTACATTTCTTAAAGGGCATGTGTTGAAAAACACCATTTAAATCCACTGATGCAAAGCAGCAACAAAGGGTTTAAGGAGGTTTTGGATTTGGTTGGGACAGCATCTTTTCTTGATTATCGTGACACGTCAGGTGACAAACTTGATGGATTAGGAGCAGGACATGGTCTTTATCTGCTAAGTGCAAAATGTCACACTCTGAATTATGGGTTTGGAGTCAAATACAGATGGAAATGTGAGATATTATATCCTACAAAGAAGAGACAGCCAGATAGAGATGCCAACAAGGCACTGGCTGAGGCATTGTAATCACTGTGTACAGTACGGACTGAAACATAAAACTGTATCCCTGGCTCCACACTCTGACATTTATGGACCCCTGGTGCTTCTTATGGGGCATTTTGTGGCGTGAGAAGCCTGTGCTTAAATGTGGCTGGCAAATAAACGGCGGCTAACGTAGAGAAGGCCGCTCTGGCTTCTCATTGTATAATCTCTGCTATGGTTCATTAAGCGCCACCTTTTTATTTGCAGACGGGTGCTAACCTGGTGCTGTCGCTCCCCGGCTTGTTGTAGCCTTCCAGGGCGCCCTCCCACACGCTGTTGGCCATCGCGTTCCCGATGGCGGTCATGACCATGCTGAGCTCCACCGGCCAGTCGTCCAGGTCCAGGGAGCGGACACGGGACAGGTGGGTGCCCAGGTTCCTGTGGATGCCCGAGCACTCGATGCACATCAGGGCGCCCAGGTTCAAACTGGCCCAGTCTGGGTCTGCATGGGAGAGGACAGAAAAACGATTATGACGATAGAACAGGAGTGAAGCTTTGCCTATTACTAGCTTCGTCATACATAAAGTCGTTACCATCCACGCAGACAGTTAGATCTCATAGTAGTTTCAGTTGCCGTTGTGGAAATCGGAATCTGTTGCAAGAAAGCTACACTGCCATAGATTGAGTTATTCCTGTGGTAAACGCTGCTTCTAGTTATGATAAGAAAATAAACTTTTATTTAAATAATTTTATACCTAAATGATTGACTTTAGATAAACAAGAGTAAAGGTACAACAAGCAGTATCCATCATGTTTAGGACTTGAGGCCAAATGCCCGAATTTCTGAACATAATTTTAGTTTCTTATTATAACAAACCCTTTATGTGTGAGACATCAGGTTTTCAGATGAAGACTCATACTCACTGGGTGCGTCACAGTCCACACAGAAGCTGTTCCCCCTCACGTTACGTATGGACTGAATGGCCATCGCATCACTTTGGCTTCCTAACCGAGACTGTAAAGGAACGAGGGGAAAGAGTAAGTCAGCAGGAACTAATCATCAGAGGGGTAAGACAAGGAAAAAAAAACATTATAACCGGACTCAAACCACAGACAAGCAGTGATGGGGAGGGAAGGAGGGAAGGAGGGAAGGAGGGAAGACGTGTTTGAAAGTCTAAGGGAGAGACTGAGGGCAGAGGGAATATGAAAATGAGGCTGTGTCTCCCCAGTACACTGACACAAGCCGTGTTCTGTCTCTGATGTCTGTCAGTTCTAATAAGAGATTGCCCACACTGCAGCGCACCTGTCTGACAACCTCCCACATGTGACAGCTTGTAGTGGGTGAGGAGGGGCGGGGGAGGGCACAATAAAGGTCGGAAAACGAGGGTGTGTGTGTGTGTGTGTGTGTGTGTTAGAATGAAGCTGCAGAATTGCAAAATGATGACACTGCTGTAATTAAGATGATGATCGGCCCAGAACCCCCTGTCCAGCTCGACTGTACCTTATTTTTTATGCTCTCACACGACTGCAGGCTGGCGAAGATCTG